TTAGGTTCCATGGGGAGTATAACCAGCATGCTTTACTACATACGTAGACTGATTTTACTGTTGTGGGTTAACACTTTAAAAAGCCAAGATGGCTCATTGTTGTGAATCTCCATTGCCATGGTATGAATATAAGGTTTCTTTTCATAGGTTTTTTAGGCTGTATAAAGGTCTATTTGTGTACACTTGCCCTAAAATGAAAATCCACCTAACAGCTATATAGATATTTAAAAATACCTATATGAAAATGTAGCTGTCTGTTAATTTATTTAAAAATAGACCATTTTATTGGAGGTGTTAAAGGGACAGTAAATAATATCCTTATCTCCAAAAATAACCTATACAAATCCACTACTTAATAGCTCTGTATTCGAAGTTTTAGGCTGGCCATACATTATACAATTTTCTTTAGATTTACCAAAAACCATATAATAGGAGGTCAAACCCAAGCAACACTTTCAATCGTATCCAATTAGGTAGGCCCTTGCACTACATAGTTGAAGGTAAATCTAAAGGAAATTGGACAGAAAATTGTATAGTGTATGATAAGCCTTATTAAAGGGTTTTCTTACTTTGTTTTTCTGCCCCCTTAAATGTCATCCATGAGCTTCCAAACCTATCCCTTTCCGCTTACTTCCATGTATTTGGAACAAGCAGTGTATGTTAGTTGCAGTTATGTACACTGCTCTACTGTATGCACACTACACATCCCATAGTCCATAGTGCTTAGCCCTTCTTAGGAGAAAGCAGAAGAGGGTAGCTATGTTCCTACATACGGTGGGACTTTCGAAAATGAATGCAACCAACCTCTAACAGGAAGTTGGATCACAGCAGCCAAAAAAAAAAGGAATTTGAAGATTTGCAGATGGTTAAGAGCAATATAATTTACTTTTAGAGCTGAGAATACATACTTGAAAAAAATTATTTTTCAGAGTTTAGTGTCACTTTAAGGTCCCCCTTCTGCCCACACATAGTGTGGCTGTGATGGAGGGTACTGTCCAGCATGGTAGAACCCTTGCTCTCTGACTTGACCAAGTCGATTCATAATTTATAGTGTATCTAAACACTCCCACCACCACCACCCAAAAAAAAAAAAATCATATATTGCAGCTTTCCAATCCTTAGATAATGGCTGCATCTGCTTTTTTTAAATTTTTTTTTCACATAATGACCAGGCCAGTAACACACTTCCTGTCTTTTTCGTGTCTCCATTGTGGATGGTAGAGCAACACAGACATCATTGGACAGCAGCATCATCAATCTGGGGAGGAGGATAGTGTTAGATCAGGGGTGTCAAACACCATTTCATTGTGGGCCGTATCAGCATTATGGTTGTCCTCAAAAGGCCAGTTGTATCTGTAAGACTAGATGTCCAGAGCACCCCCCTCCAATTACATTGGATGTCAAGAATCCCATACCCTCCCGAACATCACCGTGCACCCCCTCTGGTTGCAGAGCTGGAAAATACAAAGTACAGGGTCTGGAGGAGGACCAGAGGAGGAGTGGAGTCACTTACCAGAGTCTGCTGAATGCTGAGACCAAGGGAGGCAGAGATGAGGGGGTGCTGCAGCTGCACTGAGAGGTGCAGAATTTGGCAGAGAAGTTCTATTCTCTCTGCTTCCTACTGCTAAGACAAGGTGGAGACAAGGTATTACCCACAGGAGAGGTGCAAGGGCCACGTGAAATGGCCTGGAGGGCTGTATTCGGCCCGCGGGCTTTGTGTTTGACACCTGTGTGTTAGATGTACTAGCAGATTTTGATGGACTTCACTAACAAATTAAAGCCAAATTCCTGCTGACACATTTGAAGATATTACAGTTTTTCTGGGATAAAGATTTTACATAAAAAATAAAACCTGGTCCTTGTAAGCACCCCTGTCAGTGGTAAATGGTTTGTCTTAACCCTCCAACTGCCATTTCTGCTGGAAAGGTTGGTCTGTTAAAGGCCAGATCACCAGGTGAAAATAAAGTTAAAAAAAGCCTAAATATAAAAAACTAATGCAGCCATCACGTCTAAGGCCCAGTAAGCTGCAATACATAAAATGTTTGCTTTTGTGTTTAGATATACTTTATGTAATCTGCTGGTGTGGTGGCACTAGGGAGAGTGTCCACATGCTGAATACTGTTGAATGTTGGAAGACCTGGGAGACAGTGCTATAGTCATTTACTTGGCTGCTGAACGTAGAGGGTAAACTCAGCTATCGCCTCATGTTTTTCACATAGAAATGGATAGAGTGAACTGTCATGCTGCGATGCTTCAGTCTAGTTGAGCTGGAAATGACAGATTCTCTCCTGTTGTGTCAGACATCATTCCCATATGTAAACAGCACAGTTAAGTTAAGTCAAGCTAAGTGCTGTCCAGTTTAAATCCCAAGTTTGGCTAGAAAAGGGAAAGGGTTATATCCTCTGCCAGGCATCTGTGTTCTCATTAGGGAGATTTCCTGTCCTGTTGAGAAAACAACAAGTAAAGGGCAATGGCAAAGGCAGCAGTAAAACAGAAGTCCATACTGTAATTCCCATTAAAGGTATTTTGCTTACTTTCTGTCTTGGTGGCCACACATGAAATGAGGGAAGATGTACCCAACTGCTACAAAAATAGCAACAAAACAAATCATACAGAGCAACTCTTCTCCACTCTATCCAAAATGACCTACACTACCCATATGAAAGAAAAATATATTTGAAATATAAATTAAAAATATTCTTCCCAAATATATTGCCATACATTTGAAATGCTACAATTTTGTCCATATTCAATATATTTCAATAAATGTGTATATATATATATATATATATATACACACACACATATATATATATATACAGTGGGGATCGAAAGTTTGGGCACCCCAGCTAAAAATTTGTATTAATGTGCATAAAGAAGCCAAGGAAAGATGGAAAAATCTCCAAAAGGCATCAAATTACAGATTAGACAATCTTATAATATGTCAACAAAGGTTTGATTTTATTTCCATCATTTACACTTTCAAAATAACAGAAAACAAAAAAATGGCGTCTGCAAAGGTTTGGGCACCCTGCAGAACTTATAGCATGCACTGCCCCCTTTGCCAAGCTGAGACCTGCCAGTGTCATGGATTGTTCTCAATCATCGTCTGGGAAGACCAGGTGATGTCAATCTCAAAGGTTTTAAATGCCCAGACTCATCTGACCTTGCCCCAACAATCAGCACCATGGATTCTTCTAAGCAGTTGTCTAGAAAACTGAAACTGAAAATAGTTGACGCTCACAAAGCTGGAGAAGGCTATAAGAAGATAGCAAAGCGTTTTCAGATGTCAATATCCTCTGTTCGGAATGTAATTAAGAAATGGCAGTCATCAGGAACAGTGGAAGTTAAAGCAAGATCTGGAAGACCAAGAAAAATATCAGACAGAACAGCTCGCAGGATTGTGAGAAAAACAATTCAAAACCCACGTTTGACTGCACGATCCCTCCAGAAAGATCTGGCAGACACTGGAGTTGTGGTACACTATTCCACTATAAAGAGATACTTGTACAAATATGGTCTTCATGGAAGAGTCATCAGAAGAAAACCTCTTCTACGTCCTCACCACAAAAATCATCGTTTGAACTTTGCAAATGAACATATAGACAAGCCTGATGCATTTTGGAAACAAGTTCTGTGGACCGATGAGGTTAAAATTGAACTTTTTGGCCAGAATAAGCAAAGGTACGTTTAGAGAAGAAGGGGGGCACAGAATTTAATAAAAAGAACCTCTGTCCAACTGTTAAGCATGGGGTTGGATCAATCATGCTTTGGGGTTGTGTTGCAGCCAGTGGCACAGGGAACATCTCACGAGTAGAAGGAAAAATGGATTCAATAAAATTTCAGCAAATTTTGGATAACTTGATGCCATCTGTGAAAAAGCTGAAGTTAAAGAGAGGATGGCTTCTACAAATGGATAATGATCCTAAACACACCTCGAAATCCACAGGGGATTACATCAAGAGGCGTAAACTGAAGGTTTTGCCATGGCCTTCACAATCTCCTGACCTCAACATAATTGAAAATCTATGGATAGACCTTAAAAGAGCAGTGCGTGACAGACAGCCCAGAAATCTCAAAGAACTGGAAGACTTTTGTAAGGAAGAATGGGCAAAAATACCTCAAACAAGAATTGAAAGACTCTTGGCTGGCTACAAAAAGCGTTTACAAGCTGTGATACTTGCCAAAGGGGGCAGTACAAGATATTAACTCTGCAGGGTGCCCAAACTTTTGCAGACGCCATTTTTTTGTTTTCTGTTATTTTGGAAGTGTAAATAATGGAAATAAAATCTAACTTTTGTTGACATATTATAAGAATGTCTAATCTGTAATTTGATGCCTTTTGGAGATTTTTCCATCTTTCCTTGGCTTCTTTATGCACATTAATACAAATTTTTAGCTGGGGTGCCCAAACTTTCGATCCCCACTGTATATATATATATATATATATATATATATATATATATATATATATATATATATACATAGATTAAAAAATATATATATTTTTAAAAATATATATTTTTTAAAATATATTCTTCAGATTTTTGTTAACATATAAAAAAGTCATTTAAAATATATTTTTACATATATTTGTAAATGCATTCCAAAAATGCAGATTTGTATTTTTAAAGACATACAGTATATTTGAAATGTATTTTTAAAAATATTTTTCATACATGTTGTAATAAAAACTCATTACAACATGCAGTATATATATATATATATATTGTGGGAACTCGCTTCAACCGGTAGAGCTTTTCTTGTTTAAGCACACAGCAACTCGCTTCTTTAAGGGCTTTTTTGCCCACTTTTATTTAAAGAAAGTTCAAATAACACAAATGCTTCCCACGCAGGGGTGTCCACCATCAAGAAATACCAACAAAGATTCAGCCTCCTGGCTTGTACACAGTTCACTGTCTGTCTCCTGCAGACTCTTCCCAAATTATGGCTTCTAGCACACAGCTAGTCTGGCTTCCACCTGACTCCAAGGCAGAGACCTCCTGTCTGCCGGGGTGGAGCCCTCCTGACTCCGTTTGCCGGGGTGGAGCCCTCCTGACTCCGTCTGCCGGGGTGGAGCCCAGAACTATGGTTAGGACCCTATAAAAAGGCCTGTACACACCTGTGCACTCAGTGTGCTGGGGGTTCTCAAAACACGGACCCCGGATTGGAGATTTCATCCCTCCCAGATCTCTTTGAAATCTCCAGGCTCCAGATCCCAAAACAGACTTAATGAGTAAATGAGGAAACTGAAAAGTCAGTTTCCTCTGCTATACATTAACTCTCTGGAGCCCCTCAACCTGCCTGGTTGAGAATCCAGGGTTTTCAACTGGAGTTTGACCGTTGCAGGACACCGCACTGCCACAATATATATATATATATATATATATATATATTTATTTATTTATTTTATATATTGGAATATATTGAACATGGCCAAAATTGTAGCATTTCAAAAATATATTTGGGAAGAATATTTTTAAAATATATTTCAAATATAATTTTCTTCCATATGGGTAGTTACATAGTTGATAAGGTTGAATAAAGACACCAGTCCATCCAGTTCAACTTGAGTGTTTGTGTGTTTATGTCACTACCATTTTCCATATCCCTATATGTTGTGTTTTCTGTTTTTTTTTTTTTATTTATCTACACTCTTTGCTGATACCACAAACTGTGGAAGGGGGTTCCACATACTTATCATTTTAACAGTATAAAACCCCTTACAGGAAGTTTAGGATTGAACCAACATTCAAAGATTTGTATATTACAATATCACCTCCTAAGTGCCTCTTCTCCAGGGAGAATAAGTTCAGTGTTTGGATTGTTGACCAAAGCTGGACAGCATACTCAAGATGTACAAACAAATATAATTATTTAGATGGCAGTGCACACCCTTACAGATCACTACAATTGCTGCTCCGCTCTCTCAATGCTTTATTCCCACATGCACATGCACAGAACAATTGTAGTCTTAGTGTTTGCACACTCAAGATGTGGCCAAACCAGAGTTTTCTAAAATGGTAGAATTATAGTTTTAAACAAATTAAACAAAATTGGTCCCCAGACAGAGCCATGGGGTACCTTGCTCATAACTCTAGTCTAGACCATTCAGAAAATATGCCATTTATCACTAAACTCTAGACACGCTCCTTCAACCAGTTTTCTAGCCAGGAACATATGATCTCATCATTGCAAAATCCCTTGATTTGTAAATGAAATGTGTATGGGGTATCAAATGCCTTATCGAAATCTAGGTACATCCACAGGCCTTCCCCTCTCCAAATTACAACTCAACTCCTTATAGAATGATAAAAGGTTGGTCTGCCAAGAATGGTCGTTAATAAATCCATCTTGGTTACTACTAATGATACTATATACAGTTAGGTCCATATATATTTGGACACAGGCACAATTTTTGTTTTTTTCAGGTATTTACCAAAACATATTCAAGCTCTAGTTATATAATGGATATGGGCTGAAAGTTCACACTCTCAGGTTTAATTTGAGGGTATGTACATCCAAATTGGAGGAAGGGTTTAGGAATTACAGCTCTTAAGAGTAGCCATCCCCCCTTTTTCAAGGTACAAAAAGTAATTGGACAATTGAATCAAAAGCTGTTTCATGTCCAGGTGTGGTCCTACGCCTTTGTTATTTCTTCATCATTTAAGCAGGTAAAAGGTCTGGAGTTGATTCTAAGTGTGGTATTTGCATTTGGAATCGACTGCTGTGAACCTACATCATGTGTTCAAAGGAGCTGTCCATGCAAGTGAAACAGGCCATTGTAAGGCTTCAAAAACTAAACAAATCCATCAGAGAGATAGCAGCAACATTAGGAGTGGCTAAAGCAACAGTTTGGTACATTATGAGGAAAGAAGAACGCACTGGTGAGCTCAGCAACCAAAAAAGGTATGGACGTCCACAGAAGACAACAGTGGTGGATGATCGCAGGATCCTCTCTATTTTAAAGAAAAACCCATTCACAACATCCAGACAAGTGAAGGACACTCTCCAGGAGGTGGGCGTATCATTGTCAAAGTCTACAATCAAGAGAAGACTTCACAAGAGCAAATACAGAGGGTTCACCACAAGGTGCAAACCATTCATAAGCCTGAAGAATAGAAAAGCCAGATTAGACTTTGCCAAAAAACATCTAAAAAAGCCAGACCAGTTCTGGAAAAGCATTCTTTGAACAGATGAAACTAAGATTATTCTGTACCAGAATGACGGGAACAAAAAAGTGTGGAGAAGGCTTGAAACAGATCATGATCCAAAGCACACAACGTCATCTGTAAAACATGGTGGGGGCAGTGTGATGGCATGGGCATGCATGGCTTCCAGTAGCACTGGGTCCTTGGTGTTTATTGATGATGTGACAGAAGCAGCTGGATGAATTCTGCAGTGTTTAGAGATATACTGTCAGCCCAGATTCAGCCAAATGCAGCAAAGTTGAGTGGACGGCGCTTCACAGTACAGATGGGCAATGATCTAAAACATACTGCAAAAGCAACCCAGGAGCTTTTGAAGGAAAAGAAGTGGAATATTCTGCAATGGCCAAGTCAGTCACCTGATCTCAGCCCAATTGAACATGCATTTCACTTGCTGAAGGCAAAACTGAAGGCTGACCCACAAACAAAGAACAACTGAAGACAGCTTCAGTTAGAGCCTGGCAAAGCATCAGAAAGGAGGAAACGTAGTCTTAGGTAATGTCCATGGGTTCCAGACTTCAGGCAGTCATTGCCAGTAAAGGATTCTCAACAAAATATTAAAAATGAACATTTTATTTATCATCATATTCATTTATCCAATTACATTTCAGCCCCTGAAAATGGAGGGACTGTGTATAAAAATGGTTGCAGTTCCTAAAATTTGTACTTGATATCTATGTTCAACCCCTTGAATTAAAGCTGAAAGTCTGCACTTCAAAGTCATTTGGATTGTTTCATTTTAATTTATTCTGGTGGCATACAGAGCCAAAAGTATGAAAATTGTGCCTGTGTCCAAATATATATGGACCTAACTGTATCAGCCAATTCTTGGATATGGCCCTTATCAGTCCTTCAAATAGTTAACATAGTATAGATGTTAGGCTGACTGGTATGTAGTTTTCAGGTTTATACTTTTGTCCTTTTTTGAGTCTTGATAAAACATTTGCTTCATGCTAGTAAGCTGGAACCATTCCAGTCAGTAAGCTGTCGTTAAAAACTAGGAATATTGGTCTTACTATAACATGGCAAAGTTCTTTAAGAGCCATCTGGTCCTGGTGATTTATTCACATTAAGCGTTTCTAGTCTTTTTAAAAAACAAAGATACATACAGTATACTGTTATTACCAAAATTTTAAAAATGTTTTGGCTGAAGTTGTACTTTGAAGACTGTCACTATTATTGGAGCAGACTTCCCTTTCTCTGTGCACTGCAGTCTCAGGCAGTAATGTTACTGGCATCCTTGCGTCTGCTGTGAAGATTTTGGGTAAAGGGGACACCAATAATTCCAGAAGGTTGCCAGGGGCTTTGTCCTCCTGCCTAGACCTTGTAAAACTCTATAATGACATGTTACCTGAACTTTATCTTTACTACATTTGTAACTTTCAGGCCTCTTTCACATGGGTGGCCAGGGGCAGTAAAAACAGGAAGTTGAGATCTGGTTTTACTACCCCTTACCACCTACCTAAAAACCTATCATACAGCTGAAGGGGGCTGTACACATGCTATGGATGTGGTAAATTTAGCATGGATTGTGGAGTTAACAGGCAGCAATAGTGCTGCAGCACAACTGCAGAGCCAAGCATTTGCAGTACATTAGTTTCATTCCAAATCAACATTCAGCAAAAAAACTTTCAGGAGGTGGCAAGATCACCTAAACACCTGAAAGCTACTGCTTAGCAGCTGTATCAAAAGCGATCCATTGTGGATCACTTTACTGAGACTACTGCAGTGCGAACTTTGCCTTATTTGTTTAACAAAAGACAAGAATTACTTAACATGAGAAGAAATATCTACTGGTCATCTGAACTTGTTTCAACTTCTTTCCAGACTGTGCCATACAGAATGTATTTATACCTCCTAACCTTAATATGACCAAGACATACCTCTATTAGGCAGATCATAAAGAGTTAATAAACCAAAAATGATTGGTTAAACTCACAAGTGCAAATTTTTCACTGCTAGTTTTACTTTATGCCAGTTTTAAAAGTATTAAATCCAACAATATAGAGGCTGTATTTAGGCTTCATTTACATGTGCGGTTGGGAGGGGGGGCAAAAATGTGTAGTTGAGCTGCGTTTTTTGTCGCCAACTGCCCACCAATAGGCAGCAGATGGCAGTGTTTATATGCCATGGTTGCGATGTTTCGTGCCAATGGCAAAGTTTACCTGACCCCTGAACGCTACACATTCAAGCAAATGGTGAAACGCCCCAAATGCCCCACAACCGCATGCAATGTACGCTGTTGTAGCGCATCTGTCAGCAAAAATGGGTTTTAAAACAGGTGGTGAGGAGGTGCGATCCAAACCCGGATTGAGCTTCTACCCTTAGTTTTGTATAACTTTTGGTAGTTGAATAATACATTTTTTTAAAGATATCTATAGATAAGACCTAAAAAGAGGGACAAATGAGGAGGAATAAGGGACAGAGGAATTTGGTTCCAAAAGAGGAACAGTCCCTCCAAATGAGAGATAGTTGGGAGCTATGTGTATTACATTTCTGTGTGTGCACATTGACTGGAAGTTTTTCTTCTTAGATCTTAAATGGTCATTGAGAGTTTCCAGCAATTGGCAAAATTTGAGCAATCAAAGGTCTTCCAGAGCCTTGTGATCACTGATACAGCCTTAACATGACAAGCAAAGCTTGGGGCAGTTGTGTCCCCTTGGCTGTCTGAGGCTCTCCTAAGTCTTGCCATCCTTCCCATGTAAATCCTGGCCTCCTCCAAGTCTTGTCTTCTCTAATGATTTCATATATGCCGTGTGGAAGGCTGCTTTTCTGTAATCATCCCGACTTCTTCCACTAGCTCTGGCTGCTGTCTCTGGCTTTCATTTTGATATATTGCCCTGCAGGGCACTATAGAGATCTGCAGCGAAGCTTGTCTCATTATGTTGAGTTTATGACTGGAATGCTCTCATATAATAGAACGATCGATGCCCCAATCACAGATCAATGTCTGCGCTCTGATGCTGGGAACCACCTCACCAAATTCATCTCAATAATTACCTACATTAAAAACGCATTGCTCAGCCTGTCTTCTGTGACAAGGGCCTGCAGTACATCTCCAA